AGCTGAGGGATAGAAGCTATACATAGAATGATCACAGTAGAAGCAATGTAGAAAGTGGCTGAGCCATCAGAGCTAAGACAATAAATCACTTGCTTGGCTTTGCTGCATCAAGACAGGTGGTTGGGATATTGTTGAAGTCAAGGAACCATAACTGCATCTGGACCCTGAAACCAGCCAGAAAGAGGTTGGGAGCTTAAACTATGGCCAAAGGGCCCAAGAAACTAGCAACAAAACAAAGGTGAAAAGTTGAAGGTGAAGAAGACTCCCTGACTTCATCATTAGGAGACCACTGACCCATTTCAAACACCCACTGACCCATCTGAAGGAAGGAACTGCTCAAGTATAAAAGGACTTTGAGCTAATTGTAATGAGAAGAGAGGGTAGGCAGGGTTAGGTAATGCATATATATAGGTGTATAGGATAATTATATAAATATGTAGGACTTTTGTGGATAAAAGAAGGCAAGAGCCCTGTGTATTTTGCACATCCCTATGGGAGATTTCTCCCGGGTATGCCCAGTGTTTTAATAAAGATACCACTTTTTAACTTTAACTGGTTAGAGAGTCTTTGTTTCTGCATCACCTGGAACACAGGCAGCTGAGGAACAATCCACGAGGCACTCTGCTGGACCTGAGGGAATGTGAAGATCTGCCCTGACTGCAGTGACCGTGAGATGGTGAGTTCAGGAGAAGGGAAAACCAAGGGTCACAACATTGGACTTGACGGAAGAAGACTTTGGCCTCTTTGGGATCTGCCTGGGACATGGGACACAACCCTAGAGAGAAGGCTCCAAAAGAACTGGTTCCTGCTGAGGGATTATCTCCTCCAAACCCAGGAATGGTCCACAGGGACAAGTGGGAAGTCAAGCACAGGTAGCAGGAGGCCTGCATGGATGAACATCACTAAACTGACATAAAAGGGAAGTGGAAACACTTCAAAACTTCAAAACTTCAAAAACAAGGAGACAGATACAACCAAGTATGCATCCTGGTTTACATGAATTTATGTGATATATGGGTCTAATACATAAAAACTTCCAAAACAATGGGCAATATTAATCAAAATAAAAATAAAGTCATTCCTCAGAGTTAAGAGGAAACAAACTGGCCCCAAATCTCAGGTTTACAATTTTCTATCTTTATATAACTGTATTTAAGGACTTTTCCTCATAATTTGAAATCGTATAATTTAAATGTGACATTCATACAGGTACTCAAATGAAAAATTCCCCAAAACATCAACAGTTATGGAAATCCATAAAAGAAACAACATCTAACACCAGCAATGATTGAACTTTGGTTATTGTTACCTTTTATCCCAGCTAGGTGTTACTGCATGACCTAGTGAACTTCCTTTGGATCATTCTGTCAATGTTTTCCTTAAGACAATCTTCCTCTCCTGCCTTTCTGAAATATCACTCAAACAAGGAGCCTATCTGACCCGCTTTCTTACACACCAAAATGTTATGTAAAATGAAGTCACACTACCAACCAATTCATTTCCAATCATGATTCATTGCAATAACAGAAATACTGCTACCTAAAATAAGCATATTAAAGTCCCTTTTAAAATAAAAATTTTTAAGATGTTCCCTAAAGAAAGGTGGAACAGAAACAATGGTTGCCAAAAGAAAAAAAAAATGCTGTTCTTCTCAAAACAACTACAGATTAAGTTGGAAGAACAGAAGTCCATTGTCAAAAGATAAAGAAGTTTATTTCAAAAAGAAGGAGTACACCACAGCAGCTATATTGTTCTTCAGAAAAACAATCTGCTTAACTTCCAGAAAGGGATGATGATGGGAAAAAATGTGTATAACCGCAACTAGAATTTTCCAGTGGCAATGCAGCACTCCTTCAAATGTGACTGTGTGGTAAATCAAACAAATAGCAGAGAAAAGTATGATCCAGTTCCTAGTGAATCATCAGTTGTCTGTAGATAGACCAAACATCAGGGGCCTTATCAGCTGAACAATCTGACCGAAGAATTAAGTTCCTGCTCAGAGCAGTTGAAACCAGGCACTACTTTCCCTTCTCAAATTTAGTGTTCCCTCACTGATTTGCAAATGTGAGAGCATCACCTACTGAATGTTAATTTTGCTATTGATGGTTTTCACTGTATTACAAATTGGAGTTTGTTAGTTTTAAAACGTAGCCTTTGCTTATTTCTACAACATATTGTAACGTGGCTAAAACAAAATTTTAGACTTCTAGGAGTAAGTGACTGCATTATCTTCAAAATCTTGTATGACTTACTAGCCCCAAATGACTTAAAAATATGTAGCAATTCACACCTAAGGAAAAGCTGAAGTGTTAAAAGTTGAGAATATATATATTCTGATTGAAAAAAGGAACAAATATAAAACTGACATACCAACCAAGAAAATATAAAACTCAGACATATATTTGCACCTGTTTCTATCCTATCTAAAATAAGCAAGGAATTACAAGTCCAAGATTGCAACTTCACGGTTGCAACACTGCACATAAGTCAAAACCCCTAAAATTACACTTCCCACAGCAATTTTAACTTAGTTCCAATTTTCAAGTAAAGAAGTTAGAAATATACTGTGTTATTCTGCCTCTTAAATAGTACAAACACTGAAGCAGGAATGTGGGAATCATAACTCTAATTTCATTAGCTTATACGAATTCAAGATCTCAAAGAGACCATTGCATTAAATATCCAAACAAGTCTGTAATACTAGTTAACAGCAATTTGTTTATTCTGTTTATGAACCCACTGCTGCCCCTTTACTGTCTGATTGTTGCAGATACATATGGAAATAATGTTAAGAACGTGAAAAAACGACATGGTCTGTTCAATCTTGATTATTTTAAAGCTAATTTTATTTAGATGAAACACAGAACTTTTTATCTTTCAGTTTTACACAATGATAAATGTGACAACATCCTATTGTCATCCATTAGTTAAATGTTAACACTATACCAAAGATTTGGAATTCTGCCTCCCATGCTTAGGAACAGTGATAATCACTACCCTTCAATTCTTCAATTTTCAGAACTGATAAATTCAGTTCAAGGCTTTTTTCACATCTATGAAGAAAAAGTTTGTTACTAGTCTAGAACTAAACTTGCTTCATTAGAATAGTAACCCAACTCAGAGAAAATATTTTTTATTTTCCTACCTTGCATTTCAAAGTTACTTTTTTCTATATCAAAAAACCTAAAGCATATTTTATTGATACAATTTTGTGAGAACAAAACTGAGATAACTGTCACCCTTGACTGAGGCAGAAACCAACAGGAAAAGACACAAAAACAGATTACTGACTTAGTTGACAAAGATCAATGAAATCTCTCAGAAATAAGCACACTAAATACTTCGAAAAATAAAAGGGTCTTATCTAAATATCACCTTGTTAAAAATCTGTTTAACTGACCGGCTTTGTATATCTAGAGCAGCTTTTGAGAATTCCCTGTCACAAGTGCCAGAAGCCAGTTAGTTAGTAAATTTAAAGGTGCATGAAACAGTGCATGTTCATGTAAAAGGTTTTATACTTTTTACTCAAACATTAACATAGCAATTTCATTTAAAAGGAACTAAGTCAATGCACACCTACAGCTTTCGATGCTGGCATCAGTTCTGTTGGAAACCTCATCCTGAGAGTTCTCAAAGTTGTGCCAGAGGCACCACTGCAGTCTGCTTTAAAGCTTTTCAGGTCAGCAGCACTAATAACCAGCTGCTTCTCCTGGAAAAGGGAAAGCCAGTGGGACAGACATCTGTCCTAGGAGCTGCCAGCTCTGCTCAGTGTGTGGCCACAGGTGGTGTTGCAGGAGCCAGAGGAGAAAGACAAAAGAAACTAAAAGCTTTAGCAACAGAAGGCATCCACAATTCAAGTCTCATGAAAGTAACTTTAACAGGCAGCTCTTATGCATGACTCACTTTCATTCTCTGGTTTGATTCTGGCTGTACCCAGAAGATAACAAGAGGAAGCACATGAGCATTTCTACAAAATAAGGTAAACATTATGACCCTTTTATTGCCATTTTTTAAAATTGCAGTACCTACCTCAAAGAGTTATGATACAGACGGATAGTTGCAAACCTCAGTAGCCTTTCCACTATTCAAATTCACAGTGCTCTTCAAGCAGAAGTAACTATTAACAACATGAAATCCACCCATTCTATTGTTCAGGATAACCAGTAACTTTAGCCACTATGGTACTCCATAAATCATGAGGGTTTTAAGTTAAACTTCCTTTTATATCATGGTTAAGCAAACATTTCTTTCACTAAGTGTTACACACAAAAAAGGAAAAAAAAAAAAAGTATTAAATATATTACTGTAAATTCCAGAATGTACTGCTGTCAGGAATTCAAAACAAATTATTACAGCAACCCATACAAATGGGAAACAATACAACAGCTATTAAAGACCATCCACAGCAGCAAAAAAATTAAGTGAAGCTGAGTTACAGACACAAACTTCTGAAATGCTTAAACACAGTTTGCTTTGCTCTAACACTGGAAGATGACTGAAAACTTCAATGAAAATTTTATCTGGGATGTGAAACTTTACACACGTATTTAATGGAAGATGTTAACTTTTACAATGGAAACAATTCTAATTCCATTGTCTATCATCTAATGACACTTTATAGATTTCCATTATGCAGTATTCCATATTGAAGTTAGGTAAGACAGCACTAACAATTGGCCATAGGACTCTAGAACATGCTAAGTCATGCTGTTAAACACAACTACTGAGCAGAGTGGTTTTCTTTTCACCTGTTTTATGAAATAGAACAACGAAGAGTGATCTGAGTTACAAAAATGTAGTTAGGCAAGTGGGATATTAAACTTCCATTCCCACTAAGATAAAAAATCAGGCTGTGATCTAAAACCCTTAGAAATTCTTTAAATTCAAAAGGCTTTGGAGCAGACCCACAGACGCCTAAAAGAATATTTTTGGACATAAATATACTCTATACAAAACCCTCCTGAAAAACAAAGATACTACAATATAAATAAATAAATTACCTGGAGCGTCTTGTAATGATCTTGATGTGGAAGCACTTTTTCTTTTTTTTCCTTCAAGAAATCCATTTCTAGCACACTATGTTTTTCCAGCAAATGTTCCAATTCCTATAAAGTTTGTAAAATGAAACACACGGAATTACAAACATTTTCGAATTGTCAAAACACAGATTCATTCAACCATTCAAACTAATTTAATTTCTGATAACTGTGATATTTGCTGTCTTAATTATCACAGAGATAAAGGGCTGTGCAAGAAAAATCTGACTGCAGTTGTTACATTGAGACAGTGTAAGGTATTTAAAAACCCAAGGCATGTCCCATGTAGAAGGAGTGACCTATGTAAAGTGGCCAAGGTGCCCTTAATAACATCCTTTACCTTCTTCTGAATCCTGAAGAGTTCAGGCAGCTGGACCTGTTGTTACAGGTCCTTTCCTACTGGAACTATTCTATTCCAATTATTTTAATATTTTTAATATCATGCTCTGCCTTTCTGCACTTGAAAAGCAGCATATTAAATGTACTATCAGCAAATGTTTTCACTGAAAAATGACATATATGCATGTATACAGTGATCTCCATCAACATCTCCAAAATTAATAAAATCTTAAAATATTCTGAGAACTCGCAGAGAGCCACTCAGAAAGCCTGCCTAACATGAACCAAAAGAGAAGAAGGAAAATAACACCACTGACAAAAAACTTCAAAATTATTTGTTGCACAAAGAGCTAAAGATTTTTATTTTTTCTTAATGCAGCCATTGCTATTGTACATAAGCTGCTGGCACTTTTTCAGTTTCTCAAGAGCAACTACTTCTCCAAGCCATGCAGGAAGCCAGTATAGAAACAAATGACCTGCCAGGTCACTGCACAGCTATTCAAACAAAGGCATGACTGAGAGGGTCATGAGGAGGACACAAAGAGCAGGTCTGCTTAGTTCAACCCTGCTTTTGGACAAAGTAGTCAAAACAGTTTGAGAGATTCCCCTGGTGAGATAGAAACAGACTGTGGAACACCAATCTAAAGCCTCTCTCTCAACCTGTCTCCTCTTCCAACCCTTCCTTTGTACACTTAGCAAAGCCAATTGCAGACCTCCTCATCCTTGGCTCCTTCATTTATTCACCCTCATTTTCATTTCCTACAAGCTGTTTGCTCCTTCCCCAGTACGACTTGAGCCCTCCCTAGAAACAGTATTAAGAATAACAGAAATTAAACTCACTCTCCCATGCCTCAGTGACCTTTTGCTAAGTGATGTGTAACTACAGGCACAGCCCTGCCTTGGTGCTCTTATTGTATTCAAGTCAGAAGAAATATGAAGAATTTAGCTACTAGAGCTCCCACCCACAAAAAAAACCAAAACAAAGCTCATGCTGAGAAAGCTTGCAATCTTTTCGTTTTGTTTTTTTTTTTTTTTACCAGTTATGCTAAAAAAGTAATGTTCTTCCTGAAACTTTAGAAAAATTCAGCCTAAAATAGACACTAGACATTAAAAAAAGTATTCCAGCTAAATCGTGCAGTGTGCCCAGTTCTGGCCAGTCTCTGGAGAGCATCCAGAAAAGGACAATAGAGATAAGGAAGGGTTTGGAGTACAGATCTGATGATAAGAGGCTGAGGGAGCAGTGGACGCTCAGCCTGGAAAAAACAGAGGTTCAAAGGGGACCCTATTTCTTGTAGCCAGGTGGGCGTCAGGCTCTGCTCCCAGGAAACAAGGGACAGGACAAGAGGAAACAGCCTCAAGTTGTGCTGGGGGAGGTTCAGGTTGGACATCAGGAGTAATTTCTTCACTGAAAGGGTGGTCAGGCATCAGAAGGGGCTGCACAGGGAGGTGGCAGAGTCCCCATCCCTGGAGGTGTCCAGGGAATGCCTGGATGTGGCACTCAGTGCTCTGGGCTGGCAACAAGTGGGGGATCCGGCACAGGTTGAACTCGATGGTCTTTGAAGTCTTTTCCAACCTTCATGATTCTAAATTTGGACAGTTTCTCTGGATTTTGACTAATTTATATGGAAAAAATGAATTTCAAACAAATTTTAAACCTCTGCTAGCTCCACCTATATTTAATTCCTATATGAATGCCAAATGTTTTCCTTCAAAATGACAATTCATACCTTTTTGATTTTTAGTTTTTCTTCTTCAGCACTGCAAAGCTTGATTTCGAGGTTTGCAACAGCTTGTTGAAGGCAGTTCTTGGATTCATTTGCTCTCTTTGTCTCAACATCAGCTAAAGGCTTGTCTTCAATTACATTTGAAGAGGCAACTGGAATATTTGCTTGAGTCTAATTCATAGGAGAAAAGTGGAACTGAATCATCTCTCTCAATGCATCAAGGAAACAAACTCTCCTTGGATTAGTCATTCCATGTTTTCACCCAGTGCACACTGCAAACAGTGGTCACAGAAGGGGAATCCAAAGCGTTTGTGCTAAAATAAATATCTCATCCTTAGGCTAGACTAAGAGAGTAAAACTAATCCAAACATCTCTAAACAATTAGTGACTGCTATTTCAGTAAACTGAGGAAGTACAGAAAACAGGTGAAACACTGATGGTAAGCCCACACTTTCAGAAAAGAACAAAAATTAACTAGGTGATGTTTAAAACATTTTGTGGTATAAATAACAAAAGTCAAAGCTTTATTTCTCCCCTTTAAAAAAAAATAAAGGAGATGGCAAAAACTTGGGTTTTTTTGCCGCAAAAGAACTCCAAGGAAAAAGCTGGTAAATTAATTCAGCTGCCACTTTTCCAACAATCTGAAAGCCAAGCATGCTTGAGATTTGGGTGAAAGGAACACTCAGTGTCTTTATTAGAGAGGTTTGACTGATCTGACCTAATCCATCCCCCTAGCACCTTTTGTTCCAAACATACACTCAGATAACACACTGTTTCCAATAAATAAGTATCTCTCAAAGGATTCAAATAAAGTAGCAAACAAAACCAGGTGAGATGTTGACTGTACATGAATATATAAGATACAGCAGACAAAACAGACAGAGAAATAAACTGCAGTTTGTGCTCTGAATTCTCCTGTAAGAAGCAAAGAGAAGCCCTATGTGTCAATTCCACTTCTAAGTACTACTCAAGATTAGTCTAGCACCACCAAAAACTGTATGGAACCTGTAATAGGGAAGGATTTTTTTGTCCAAAACCTCAAGAGGCTCTGGAGATATAATTATAAAAGAATACAGTTCTACTAACACCACCCTCTAATAAGTGTAGGAATATTTTATTTTATCTTTATGTCCATCACTTTCTTTTAGTTTACTCCTTAGTGCAAAGTCACTTCTATTTCAAAATAATGTTGAAGGACCTGCTCTCAACTCCTCTTTCAGCATGACTTGCTAATAAATTTTTAAAATTTGTACTATTTCCTGCGTAACAGAGAATTTATGGAATGATGAGTCTGTCAGTAGCTGGACAGAACAAGATGAGAAAAACTGAAATGTGGACTACAACTAGAATTTGCACACACACTTAGTCTGAAGTAACAAAGTGTGTTTTTTATTTTTCTGTAAGATTACCTAACTAAATGACTTTATAGTTTTAAAAAAATACCCCTAAGCCTCAGTGTTCTGGAATAACCCAAGTGCTCTTTCCAGAGAACACAAAAGCTAAAATTGCTGGCCTAGCTCAATCAAGAAAGGTTGAAGGTTATTCACTCTTAGCCAAAATTAAAAAAGGCAAGATCTGTGGTGGCTGAAGAAAATCACTTTTTGATCATCCTGCCAGTAAAAGAAATTTACTTATCAAAACTTTGTCAGACATCCAGATGAAGAACCTTCAACACAGAAAATTACCCTGGCTGGCATCAGTCAAAAAAAGAAAACAAACACTCCTCCCTCTAAAGAAAAAAACCCATAACTTTTGGATTTATACGTTTCTTTGATATATTTTGCATCTGGGCACATCTCTTCTTCACTTTTTATAGGCTTTCCCCAGAACATTAGCCTGGGAACAAACACAAAATGGTAACTAATTAATTAATTCATTCAACGTTGGTGCCACAGTCTTTCTGGAAGTGTGAACATACAGATGCCCCTCAAGGGAAAAAGATAAGACTCAGTTAAACCAAAACTTGTATTTTGTGAATATTGCTTAAATAGCTCTAAAGAAATGCTTTTAAATGATCAGAAAACGAAAATCTGACTTAATAATGAAATTTAGCTTTCACCAGGAGCAGCCTTGAGACTTGATGAGTCTACCTGAAGAAGAAAAAAAACAAGGAAGTGCTAAAACTAGGAGGGTTGACAATTAGTCCAAAACATTGATTGCTTCACAGTGAGGTAAGAGCCTTCTCTAATTCAAATACACATTACCCTACACCCTGAAACAAGGAAGTTTACAATGTATTAACATGTTCAAATGGGGGTCACTGCAATTATGGCAATAAAAAACTCAGGTGTATCTATTTAAGTCTCAACTGCAGCAGCTCTTGTGATTCTGATAAAATTCTTGTGATAATCTCCAGGCAGAAAGGCTTTTCCCTTCCTTCTTTCCTTCCTCACCTAGCTGTTTAGTTAAAAACTAAACATTTTCACACTCCAGAAAGAAACAAAGATGAGTTCTCAGCAGCACTGCAACCGTAGGAGAGCTTAAGAACCCACAACCAGTCACAAAAAAAACCCCAAACCAACTTTAAAAGTAATGGGGAAAAAAATAAAGCAAAGTAAAATTTAACCCCCTTAGCCCTTTAAAATTAATTTGATTACAATTAAGTAAAGATTAAATGTTAATTCTCTAATCATAGAATGGTTTGGGTTGGAAGGGACTCTGAGGATTATCTTGTTCCAATGCCCTGGCACGGGCAGGGACAGGAATGCCTTTCACTAGACCAAGTTGCTCAGAGCCCCATCCTTGAAAATCCTAAAAACCTAGTCCTAAAACCACTTGAGAAAACATACAAATATGATAAGCTTCAACAGTAGCCATTTTTTTTTAGAGAACCTTCTTGCTGACATTTCCTTCATGCATGCCCAGCATCATCAGCATGCCTTTAATTTTTAATAACTCTAAGACAGTTATCTCTCTTGCAGTTCAGATCAAAGTAGTATGATTTCTATCAATTATAGGTTTCATAAATAATTTAAAAAGCATTTTGCTTCATAGTCTGCATCCAGAAACCTTTTGCCCTTAAAAAGCATTTCTGTTGCACAGAAAAGATGCAACACTGATATTTAATACATTGAGTTTCCACACTGAAGCTCAAAAATTGTGGGTTTACCTGTTCTTCAGGAACAGCTGGATTTATCACACTCTTGCCTGTTTGAATAGCTGTTGCCACATTATCACTTGATAAAATGAAAGAGTCAGAAGGAAGCAGGCAGGAAGAAGGCACAGAGCGCTCCAGGAGAACATCAGGAGATCTATGGACTTCAGGTACTGGAAACAGAAAACACACACGATATGAAGAACCACCTGAAAACTAGTTTAGTTTCTGGAGTCCAAGCCTAGTAAAACCCACCACAAGTCAAGTCATACCAATGTAAGTTTATGTATGTCTTATAATCCAGTTCCACTGAAAAGTAATTCCACACAAAGAGCCTGTGTTTTTCAGTAGTACCAACTTAAGGACATTCAAAGTTATAGTCACAGTAAATTTAGACATCTAATTTACAAGACAACAGCTCTCAAAGGATCAGTTTTAACTCTGTCTCTTTTGATTCACACAGCCTTTCAGCTTCAGCATGATCTTTAATCAGTTTCAGTCAACAGCAAAACTATACTTGTAATTTCCCAAGTTTTATACAAGTTAAAAAAAAAATCCCTAGAAGCCACATACAAACAGCTTGCCAAGACAAAGGATAAAACAGTCTGATATTTTATAAGAGATAAAAAGTAAATAACTCTCTAGGTAATAAAACTTAAATGGAGTTAACACTGGATTGAGAGCTCTTCCATACCAAATTCCAGTTATGCCATAAAATCCCTGAAGACTGGATTAGCATTACCAAGCCAGCACAACAGAAATCTTTTAAAAGATTAAAGATTAAATCTTTAAAAAAGACATAAACTAAACAAACTAAATAAAAAGAAAGAAAAAGATAATGTTTTTCCTACATTTTTAATTTAACAGCAAAATCCTGCAAACTTTGACACGGCCAGCTCCTGGTGTGTCTTTGCAATAGGCAAAAAAAAGCACTTCCCATTGTTTCAGAAAAAGCAGCTCCCATTATTATTTTAACTCTGGCAACATGTAAAAGATGCCTTTAGCCTTGAGCAAGGCCCAGCCTCTGGATATCACTGTGGAATATTGCACAAGTACTCAGCACAAAGCAGTGTGTACAACTGGCCTCGAGGCATTCTAAAGGACACACTAATCCTTGAATCCAGGCACTCTCTGTCCCATCTTCTTCAGCTCCCAGTTCTAGGATTCAGGTATAACACACAGGAACATGCAAACCTCATTCAATGAAAAGAAAACAGAAAATAGGCCATGAGGCAGAAAAGTATCAGTAGGGTAAGTGCAATGATAGTAGATTTGGACGTGGCAAAAAAAAATAAATAGAAAAAAAAAAAAATCACAGCTCAGCAGAAGATGGAAACTTGGTTGAAAAGCCTAGAGAACAGCACTTCAGAAAACAGAACAGGAACCAGTTCAGGTAACTGCATTTTAATAGTTAACTATTCTCCAGAACTGGAAACAGGATTTTTTTTGCTTTATTTTATGCACCTTAAGATAAAACTCTCCTCCCATTCCAAATGTCTCCTTTCAAAGGCAGCTTCCTATAACAATTACCTACTCTGTTAGTTCAAGTGGCAATGAAGTGACATAGATGATCTTTTTGTATCTAAACAAACATTAAAGTCTCAGCTTTTATGCTATCACTTAATGCTCTGAGTCTCAGTTTTAAATTAATTTCCATCTGATGGAAAAACAGTTAAAATAATGTACGAGGCAATTTCTGACTGAGCAGGCAAGTGGTTCTCTTAGTGGTTGACTAAAACTGTCAACTCACATGGAAAAACTGAGCATGATCCTTGTGATGAATGTTCAACCTTTGGTGAGGATTACCATAGCACAGGCATAGTTCACATATAAATAATTTATCACAAAAGTAAAAAGAGCCATGAAGACTGGGCACATATGAGGAATGTAGACTTGCTGAGATGAGAGCTTTAGGTATTCATATATTTTGGGGTGTCCAACCCTAGAGATAAAACTCAGTTTTTAGTGGTTTAACATAGTTTTACATGGAATCTTCTACAATCAGGTGGAGCCTTCAGTAGTTCTCATTATAGTAATGAACACTTAGCATCTTGAAGGGAGAAAAAAAACAAACTAGAAACAAAATCCCCACTCCTTAAGTTGTCAAAATGAAACCTAGGAAATGAGGAGCAACAACTGGTGAGCACTTCTGAACATTGTGGTTTAAAGTTTTCGACTAAACACATGACCTTGCAGAAGACAAGAAAAGGTGGCAACTCTCCAAGGTATCATTCAAACATCTTTTTTTACAAAACCTTCTTTTCACTTTTCAGCAATGCTAAAGATTCATAAATTAGACATTCCTAGAATTACATGTGCTATGTCTGTAATTCAAGCTCTCTTAATTCATTCCTCTTGTGTATATACTGGTGAAATTGCATTTTAGTTCAGCTCAAAATTCGCTTATAAAGAGAACCCTTAAATCATTCCTGCATACCATGCCCTAGTTACCATAACGGAACAGTTTCACAACTCTTGAAACCAAAACTCTCCTCTGTTGGAACTACCTGACCTGACTCCAACAGGCTAAGTCTGATAGCCCTGATGAATTTCCAAATAAATTTTTTGCTCATTGATCAGAGCTGCAGCACTGCAGAGAAAAGAAGCATAAACTCAGTTACAGGTATATCAAAAGTCATACACCCAAAAAGGCTGAAATAAGATACAGATATAAGTTACTGCCAGAATTGTACTATAAAAGTATCTAATAATTTCTGAAGCCCTGGCTTCACAATATTAAGAATATTCTGCCATAGGTTTGTATGTAAGAACTGCCAGAAACACACAGTTTGGTAATAGAAGCAGAGATCAGGCACAGCCTGCAATCTTGCTAATGCAAGGAAAATTCTTTGTCTTTATGTTTGAGCTTTTTAATGAAGCTCAAACAATTATTAAAATTCCCTGGGAGATCAGGAATTCTGAAAACAAAACCAAATGGATGAACATGAACTGTTAAATCAACATTTCATTGAGTCTTACCCTTCATACTGAGTTTGAGAATGAAGACATCAAATATCAAATGTACCACATGGGTAATATTTACCAAATAGATGTTTCTTACATCCAGCAATTAAGAAGGGATATGACAGCAGGGCTATGAGCAGAAGACCATATAATAATAATTTGACATGTTTTTGTAGAATGTTGTAAGCTACTTGTAGCACAGCTCCCCTACATATAGGTTTCAGCTGTTAAAAATAAAAAAACCCAAGAAACAAAATTAAATTTTCTTCCTCAACTCCTCTTGTCTTGATATTACAACTCAAGGACACTGTCAATTATACTGTATACACTGAAAACTCTATCCCTGAACATTTTCAGTTAAAAGTAACATTCAGGTAAAAAATTTGAGTTTAAAACTGCTTTTGTTTCCACAGTGGGAAAAACCAACCTGATGCACTCTCAAGATGATTTCTGACAACGCACAGTACAAAGCTCTTCCCCACATTTTATTCTTCCAAAGCCAAAATATTCTAGAAGTTATTATATCTACTAATCTAGAATTTTAAATGTACATCCATGTGGTCCATACTACCAAAGACATAGTAAGAAGTCCAATTTCAAGGGCAAAATTGCACTGAAATCACCACTGAGACCTTAAAAATAACTTCTGAATTGTCTGCTGAACTGAACTGAACACTGAAAAACATGGCCACAGGATTCAGTGTTTTGTTTTATGACTTCCAAACACCAGATATACAGGAAATTCACAAGATGAGTAACTGCTCCTCTGGAAAGTTCATCAAATCTTGGGTGTATACAAGGGTATCCCCCCCCCCAAATTTATCAAAATCACCTCAATAGCACCATAACACATTCGAATTTTTCAGCAAGCCTTACTGAGAAATTTCTAGGGTAAGAGAAGAACATCTTTATATATAGATAACACTGGGGAGACAATTCAGCTATTTCTGTTACTAAAAACATTGATCTACAAGTCAATGCCCAAGAAGCCCTTAACCAATACTATTAAAATGTTGCCTATTGCAATAAACTAGTTTATTCACAGCAATATTTGCATGAAAAAGTCATACAAATATTTTACAGTAACAAAATATCCAGAACACAAGAGTTTTCTTTTAATTTTGAAATGCCTAAAATACCTTGGTATAAATTACCCTAGGACTTCTGTGTCACTTAAAATCATTCTGTGACAAAAAAATTCTGTGTTATGTACAAATAATTTCAATTCTACACACTTAACAGGATTTTAATTGGACTTCACTGACAGACACTGCATAGCTGTATTTGATTTAATTTATTAAACACAGTAAGACATGCTACTGAACTTAACCAACAATTTTAAATATCTGTAAAAATGACATGAAGAATATTAAAGTTGAAAAAATATAATTTCCTTAGTATTTGTTTTCCTCTGAGTCAATGACAAATAAAACTGATCGTTCTGTAATAGATGAAAGCCAGAAATAAATTAACGAAAACATTTTAAGAATACAATTTATAGAGAGTTCATGTTGACAAAAATCCCCGTCTTATTTTGTATAATTTAGTCTGCATAACAATACAGTGTGGGTGGTTGGTTATTTTTTTCCCCTGAAGCTGCAAAAGTCCTATTTTGTTTTGTGAAAAGAGTGAAATCTAGACCACAATAAAATCAGTAACGCCTCCAAAATCTTTTAGTCCTACTGATAGTATACATTTATCAACAAACTTTTAACAACATCCTAAAATCCAGACAGGCACCAGACACTTATATAAATTAATAAAATAGTTCCCTAATGTTTCTGCTTCTGCTTGAGATAAAGAATATGCAATATATTTTTCAATTATATAAACTACGCAAGTAAAAAAGATCACTTTCATCCCTCCCAAGTAAGATTTCATCACAATCCTGTTTTTAACCTTACTTTTTCTGTTTTCCTACGATTTGCAACAGATCTTCCACACTTAAAAGTAAAGAATATCCTGTGAATGAAGAAATTCTATTCCTTTTCTACTGTATAAACTGAATTTCTCTTTCATTCCTCAATAAAGTTTAACTTTGAGAAGTGCAATTTCCCAAAATAATTGCTCAGGAATATTCTTATACTAAAGTTTTGACTGCTGGCTATTCTGTTATTGTGCATTTATTTCATTGTGTACACCCTTCTAAGCACTAATTTTTACAGTGAATACATAAGGACAGGAATAGAATATTAAGATTTTTACAGTGATTCTGTCAATACCTGCAGGAAATGCTGCCCAAGCAATAGCAGGAGATGTGGTCTGCTGTTCACCATTTCCAAACTCATAACTCTCTGCTGCCTGGAAACAAGAAGAAATTGTTACATATTTCAGAAAATGCTAGAAATTTCCATAAAACAGTTGAAAATAGTTAAATTTCAAAGCAAAGTTATCCAAACAGCATACCTCAAATCCTCCAAAGTCATCATCATCCATCTTTCAGCAGGCACTAGAACACAAAAGAAATCTTGATTTTAAAACATTTTCATAACCTTATCCCCTGCTCGCTCAGAAATGAGCATTCAGTCCTTTCCTCCAGTCTCATCTCCACAGCCAACCTGAAGTCTCCATCATTTGTAAGTCCTAAAACAGATCAAGGGGCCTAAATAAGAACTTTTTCACACAGAGGATGCAAGGCCAAGAACTGCAAGATCTTGCTTAAGAAGCACTTTTTTATTGATTAAGTTAAATACAAAAAATTGGGCATTTTACACCAGAATTTGAATAACTTCAGGGGAAAACATAAGCAGTGTCCATCAACACAGTCCAACATCTTTTGAAAGTAAAAATGCAGGAAAAGCTTTCTCACAGAGGAGAATAGGAAGATGTTACCTAAAAGTTATATTTAATATCTTCAGGTTATACAGGTCCCCAGTATGCTAAACAAATGCTACTACAACCATCAAATAATCCAGTCAGGACACACATATATATAAATATATAACAAACTAATACATAAATATGTCCAGGAAATAGGATTTCTGACCATCAGATTCCAAAATGAAGGGTTGTCTTCACTCATAAGGAAAACAATCTATCTTAATGCAGTCATGATCTACCATAGACCTTATATAGTTTTGTGTTTATGATTTAAAGCATTAAAAATATTTTCCATTGTTAAGCTGCTTTTCCAAATCAGCACTGTGATTAAATCCAAAAAGATTTCCTGCTTTTCCCATCTCTTCTTAGCTGTCTGGCAACATCAGAACAAACTGCAGCTTGGAAAAAGACTGTGGTGAATTTCTGGAAATTTTTCTGCTACCACAGAGGTCCGTCCCTAGGTTTCATGGAGGAGCTGATTAAGATTTTACAAACTGATCAGCATTTTTGACTTGTAGCCCTGAATTCTGTGGCATTTGGATATATTTATAGTTAAATTGCAATTCCTTTAAAAAAAAAAAACAGGCTAAGTTACTCAGCTAATGAAAGTAACTCAAGATATACAAAGCTGTTGAAAGAAAGGTATTATGTATTAACAAAATATATATAACTCTGATATGTAAATGAAGGATGATCAAAAAAACCCTTATGGTCTTTATAGGATGTTAAAATGTTTATAAAAGCTAGTCAATCAGTTAAAACAGTCTATAGACTGGATAAACTTTTATTACTGCAGAAAAGATGGAAAGGAGCTGTTTAAAAGAGAGTAGGTTTAGATTGAACGTTAGGAAGAAATTGTTCCCTGTGAGGGTGCTGAGGCCCTGGCACAGGTTTCCCAGAGCAGCTGTGGCTGCCCCATCCCTGGAAGTGTCCAAGGCCAGGTTGGATGGGGCTCTGAGCAACCTGGGCTCAAGGTGTCCTTGCCACGGGACTGGGTGATCTCTACGTGATTCAGTGATAAATCATCACTATCACAGTATAAGTAGAAATATTTGTTTAAATTGAAGTATTGTTCAATAAGAACTAAGTATCTTTTTAGGGACTACGAGATGTTTTCTTGGCTTTGTGTGGGTTGGGTTTTCTGCTGGCTCATTTTCCAAGAGAGAAAGAAGGTAGTTGGGTATTTTCCCCATCAGTGTAAAGGTTAATTGGTCAAACATTCATGCACTCTATCAACATTCAGAGCTTTAACACATAGTTCTGGAATACAGCATGTGTGTGCACAAATGATGGCTGGAGATGTGTGGAGAGCACAGGACTGCAGATGGAGACAGCACAAACTGACAATGTCACTGTATTCATGCCACATTCCAGGAAAAACCACCCAAACCAGACTGGGGATTGACACAACCACTGCAGAACACAGTGCTCAGTAGCAGGCAAAGCAGCCAGCTGGAGAAGGTGAGCCTTTAGAAAGGCAAACAGGTATTTTATCTACACACATTATATCACATCAACAGGTCTTACAGGCTCTACACAAAGTTCTTTCAAAGCAGATTTTCCCCTCAAAGTGCATGAGACGTTATTCCCATCATCTCAGAACTGGTTATGTCTCAACCAGGGAAAGTACATTCAGCACTGTATTTTAAAAACACAAACTGGAACAAGTTCAGAGGAGTTCAACAGGAATTAAAGCAATTTTGGAAAGGCATGCTAAAATGGAGAGGCTCTAAAAAAATAAAAAGCAAACAAAAATAGAAAATATGTAAAATCATGTTCTAAGAAGTGATTAACTACTTTGATTTCTCTTCAAATACAACACTGACCTGAGGCAGTAAAGACAGAAGGCCCTGTAAGGAAAACATGTGAGGATTTCCATTTCTCTTTCAAGAACATTTATAAGAAACTATGCATAAATAAAACAGAAGTTTTGATAGACAAAAAGAATGTAGGGCAGAAGAAAAACTGGAGAGCAACCTGTTATTGAATCCATCATATTTTTTATTGCATTTCACATATAGTTTTTTAAGTCTGGTAACAATCCCAGGATTATTCTGACCTAAGATTACCTTTACCCCACAAATTTTAAACACAGATATTTTGCGGCTTACAAAATTTAATTACTTTATGAATTATTCCACATATCACTCCAATGGAATAAAAGATAAACAAACTCCAAGCAAGTCTCCATAGTACCAATGGTGTTTTCACACCTAGCTGTTAATCCTCCAATTTCCAGTTCCTCAGAGACCCCACAGGAATTCCAGGCTAAGTGATTCTCCCTCAGGTGAGAGAATTCTAGATCTGTTTGCACTTTGGGTGTGTATAATCTATATTCATACACATACATGCACTTTTGTTTCAGAATGATTTGTTTCATGCCGTGTTTGCTGTGGACAAAAAAAAAAGTCTAAAAATACCAAAACTGGCAAACTCACAAATATGCAGGCAGCAGATTTGGATAGAAAGCATGGACTAAATCCTGAGGGATGCTGATATAAGGCACTTCAAAACCTCAGACACTGAGGTTCTCTTCAAAGAGTGTTCGTGCAAGAGTTCTTATTAGGAGACATCTTTCCCAAAATGTGATCTCTTCTTGCATAAAAAGGGAGCCTTCTGTAGGGAAAAGGGCCACACCACTGTTATAAGAACTGTTTAAAGAAACAGGAGACATTCAAGTCCTCAAAGTACATGGGCATTTAGCTCTAAAAATGTATTAGTGACTCATTATACACTTAAATGATAACAATGCTGAAAATATGATCAAACACATAAGTTCTTAATTCTATCCCTTATTTTCATTATGGAAATGCAATTCTGGTACAAATAAATAACAGAGGTAGTCTAATATCTCTCCTTCGACCTGCAACAAATTTGGAGCAAGTTCTTTTAATCAACCATTTATTCCAAAATGGGAAATCAGCCTTTTCTTTCCTCATAGGGTAGGAACATTATTTGTGGCACCGGAATAGGAAAGAATACATTAAGTGCTGACAATCTTCAGGATTTGAAAAATAACAGAAAAAGACAAAACAACCCACACAGTCTTACCATGACTAAATGTGGTCTCTTGAAATATGCCTGATACTGGAATTAAGTAACTGTAAAATTGGGCAACAAGAAGTCAACCTCAAAATTACAGAGTCATAGAAATTATGGTTGGAAAAGACACAGTAGGTCATCCAGCCCAGGTCATTTCCAAAACATTACAGTTCTCAGACAGTCGTGTCCTAAAAGGCTTGAGAAGCTCTCCAGTCACATGCCATGAAAAGAAGGAAACTTTCCATGGACAACGAATACACAAGCCACTGAATTCTGAGTAGGTTTTATCAACAACTTTGTATCCACCAAATGGAACAATAACTTCTGCCAAAATTCAGACCAGCAGGTCATCCAAACCAAGTTCCTGCTCAAAGCAGGGCCAACACTGCATTTCAGATGAGGTTGCTCAAGACTTTCTCCTGCACGGCTGGTAAGGCTGAATGATGAATTTATTCAGAATGATGTGCATACCTGAGAAGCTCACAAGCTTTCTTCCTGTGCCAAATACAGTCACCAAAGCCTGGCCAGCAGATTAAAACAGGTCATGAGAACTTTGTGAAATGTGCTTACCTAACAGACACACCAAAAGCTTGTTTTTATACACAGGAAGATCAAGAGCCATTCCCAAGAAATAAGGAAGAAAAATGTAAGCTGCGGGGAAAAAAAAAAGCCCCTCTTCTCCATTCCAACAGTTAGGGGGAGAAAGAACATTGTGATCCCACCAGAAATTTTGGTATTCATATCCAAAAGGCAGTAGTGGTGGAAAGACCAAATGGTGAATAGGAAGAATTCCTCATTCACATCCACCTCTGGCTAGTGAGAATTCAAGTTAATCAAGTCCTGATCCATTACTTGATAATCTAAATTTGTCTAGGTACTGGAGAACCGATTCTGCCAAGTAAAATCAAGTGTCTTCTACATAACCTGGTCTGTAAGTTTGTTCTGCTTTAACAGAACAACTGACAGAGTATACAGCTGCTCGTTTTGTCAGAACTGTGTGTGCAGAGCTGCCTGAGGGTGGGGCTGCTGCATTGATATTTCTGACAAACCCCAGGGGTGGGTAACTCCTATCTGTGAAAACCTATCAGTTTTACTTTCATTCTAATGTTTCCTAAATGACTTATCCAACATGTTCAGTTCAGGACAGGCTTATTAGCTGTTCCCTGATTGGACATAACATAGACCCCAACATTTGAAAAATAAATCTTTGGCCGAACCTGCAGGTTCCAAAAAGTCTACCCAGGATAAGTATGAGATTAAAAACAAAAACAAAAACAACCAAAAAACCCCCAACAAAACTAAGAAGTAGCAATTTAGAAAGCATGTACACTGGCAATACCTCTGTGATAAAGAGCAGGACAGATGATAAATTTCTGTATCACCAAGATCTAACCAGCTCACATGCACTTTTCCCCATGGCTCTTTCACCTAAACTTCTAGTATCTCTTGCAAATATTAAAACAGGAACAAACTTTCTTCTTTCTACCTAGCTGATACAGGCTTATCTCCTGATCTATATTAATTAGAGGTGCAGGATAAGTATTTGGCATCTTAAAAACTTATAATAGCTACTAAGTCATTAACTGGAAAAATTTAATTACAGAATGCACATATCCCAAAGGATATCTAGCTTAAGAAAGACCAGAATATGAACGTACAGCATAATGGAGACTAAAATATATTTAGAGCATTTGTAAAATTTCCTAAAGAAGAAAAACCACTCTAGCAATTCTGCATGCTGCTTGTCCTACTCCATTGTAAGACAATGAAAACCGGGCAACACCAAAATACCAGTGTTCTCCATCACATTCCAGTGTGGATTCCATCATAAAACGGACATGTGGGAAATCTCCCCTGGGAGGAAGCAGAATGCTGGTCAGCTCCCAGGGTGACAGGGCTGTTAGCACCTTTATTTTAACAGGGGACAGGAGCCTGCTCATACACACAGTGAATTAAGATACTTCAAGGTTATGTGGGAAAAGAAGACAACATAGAAGATGCCACAGCAATTTTTCCCTGGGAACTGAGGCTGGTTCATTTAACCTGGAGAAAAAGAGGCTCAGGGGGACATTATC